ATACACAGACATTTCATAAGTTGTGTTCACAACAGTGACATTTCCAATATTTCTCCTCTTAAGAGCAGGCTGGTGACGTCATTAGAATTAGCAGCTACGCTAAATGGCTGTCTGAAAAAAAAAAAAAAGTGTGAAAGGTTTTGTCTCTTCTTTCAGTCACCCAGTGGGGAATTGGACTCAGGGTAGCATTTTATTCACAAGGCGAGAGCCAATAGCTATTCCTGATCAATATGTTAGAGGGAGGTTGCAGTGAGAGGTCTCTTTGCTGAGCATGCATGCCACTCTCCTGGGATCTTTGAACAAAAACTCAGTCAGATCTATTTACTTACACCGAGCAGAACAAAAATTAGAATCGTTTCTCTAAAGAACTGACATTTAAGGGGGGGGGGGAAGAAATGTCCTTCCAGGAGAGAGAGCTCACGGTGAAAAGAAAATGTGCGCCCATTCAATGATTTTTTTCTTTTCTTTTTCCCACAGAGCAATAATCTACCCTGGGGAACCGCTTTATGAGCATAGTCCCTTCACCCTGGTGTATTCAAGTTTGAAAAGAAAGAGTAAAATGTTGAAGTCTTTAAGTGGAAAATCCATGCTGGGTCTGGTGAGGCCGACCTTTCTGACTCTTATCAACCAACAGGGATTTAACCTTACACAGAGGGATTGTTTTGGGGTCGCTGTTTCATATATTGTTCATGAATACTCTAAATTGCTAATTTGGGCCACAGATAAAAAAAAAAGGTGGCCCAAAACAACGTTTAATCAACCATATTAGGCATTCTTTGTTGTTTTTTATGCAGCTAATACCAGCCTAGCTATCCTTTTTGTCCATCAGCTTTTGCGGAGTGTCCTGTTTAAAGGAATTACAGCAGTGCAATTTAGGCAGAACTGAGCCCCAAGAGCCCGATACGAGGAGAGCAAACTGTGCACTTTTACACTTTACACTTGGTGGAGGTCAAACAATCATTAATTAGCCTCAGGTTGATGTGCTATACGTGCACATACCGGAAGTAATTTCGCAATTTTATTTTTCTTCCCGTTTTGCAATGTTTTTCTTTTGTCTTGCTCTGCCTCAGTTAATCCCAAGTACCTGTGAAGAAAAAGGCACCGAAGAGAGATCAATGGCTCCCTCCCCGAAGCATTGACTGCCATTTCCCTGCTAGACTGGGGACCAACGGGTCATCACAGCCATTAGCATAAACAAACAAAGCTATTCCACCACACAGGCAAAGCATCAATTACAGAAAACAACCTAAGCTTATACTGCGATGCCTATGAAGCCGCAAGATATTAAAATGCGACAGGAAGTCATTTTTGTCGGCTCCATTTTGAAGATTTTATGTCACATTTGCGATGAAATCACTTTCTCAAATATAGAGCTGTTTGGCACTGGTGCAGAACGCATTATCATTGGGGACAGATTTGAGATATTTGGACAAAACATTAGCAATGTCTCTTTTGCCAACAGGCTCATTACTTATATGGCAGAGCTTTGTCCTCCACTCTCTACAGGAGAAGGAGAGGAAGCACCCAAAGGTTATGAAACCTCAGCTTACTAATGCCACTTCATATGCCAACCAGAAAGATTTTCTGAGGCCACTACAAGCAAAACAGTTGTTTTCTTTGGGTGGTCATGCGTACATGTATGTCCTTTTGTCTTTGTCCACGGTGCTGTTATACCTACACATTGTGTATGGAGATGAGTGGTGTTCCAATTGTACAACCTCATGTACTCCTTTCATATTTCATCATTGCAACAATTAATGGAGATCGATACAAATAGATGCGGCAGGAAGCCATTTTCTGAGACGGGTCCATAAGACAAAATTATACAAAGTATCTTTCAGAAGGCTGCAAAGTGAGTCATTCCATCTGTGTTTTGACATCAGCATCAGTTATGTATTAGCTCACATCCTTGATCAATTCTCTAATAACAGCCAGAGGGACAATCTGTCAAGAGACTAACAAACTACTTTAAAGAGGTGATTATGGTACTAAATTGTAGAAAAATACACCCCGGCATTTTCCTTGACACTACACTTCACATATAATTATTGCACTCCACTTTTTGGCCTTTGTCTCCCTCAGCACGGAGAGGAAAACAGATGACAGATTTTTTGTTTTCTTTACTGATTGGTGAGGGCCCGTGAAGTGGAGAGCTCAACACAGTCTCACTGATTACTATGGATCGGCTAACAACCAGTGTACCTGAGGTTGATTTGTTTCAGCTTTGTGCCATTTGTTTCCCGCTGCTACAAGAGAAAACAATTTCTGTTCTGCCTCCCATACAGTACAACTCTGTCTCCTTTCAGCGCAAACACTCATTTTTTCCTTTCATTGCACATCTTACTTTGTCCCTCTCCCAGAGGTTAAAGGTGAACTTAGTGCCTCGGTCCGTGTTCAAACAAGTAAAAAGTTTAATGACACTGAGCGAAAATGCGTGGCACCATAACTATGCTGAAAACTCTGGTAAAGTCAGAAGGTCCTGATGAGCCAGAGTCAGCAGCAGCACTTCTGAACCTCAGTCGCACTGGACAGTTGGCGCAGGGTTACATTGCACACAGTGTGCCTCAGGTAGAGGACACTGCTGCTTTTCTGCTCACACAGCTAGCAGTCAAAATCGGCAACAAGATCTATAACACATATAATGCCCCAGCCAGCCAAACAGCGACTCCCAGCACCCGAGAGATGGCCGGACAAGGCCAGATCAACTATCAGTCACCATTTGATTAGTTTGGGGAGTGATTAATGAAGAGCCATGAAACGGCCGCAGATAAGATTAGACCTTCACAGGTGATGAAGGGCAGGGCCTGTGGCTAGCAGCGGGGGGAAAGGGGGCAGGGAACAACTCAATGCCTTCAGATGCTTTGAACTGTAATGAAAGGTAATGAGACCCTCGTCACTTTAACACACAACATGATGGTATAACTTCGGTGAGTCAAGAAAAAAAAACAACAACACGAGAATATGATTAATATATAACAGGCCGTTTGCATACCTGATAAAAAAAAATCTTTTCTCACCAATGAAAGATGAAATTGGAAAAAAAACTGGTTAATATATGTGACTGAGGAAAAACAGATGTTTTTCACATTTAAGTTCACTAAAAACACGCACCAATAATGATCACAGCTCTTTTGTAAATGAAAAATGTCTGTTCCACAGACAAAAAATCACTGAGATATAATTTCATGATGCGGTGCACTTGAGAAGAATTGATCAGCACATTCAAACTAAAGAGAGAAAGTGTTAAAATGTTTATCATATTACCTGACTGAAAATTGGAACAGCTCCCAATGTGAGGTGAAAATGTAGCATGACTGAGAAATACACAGCAGTGCAAAATCAGCGCTGAAGCAATTTCTCAGGGTGGGGGAAAAAGACAAACAGAGAGAAATGATTGTGGCTGAAATGCTACGAGACTTCAAACAGCTCCACCACAGAAATGGAACCTTGTTGCACATTGCATTCATTTGCACACAAATGATATGTCTAATGATATGCTCAGCTGAGCAAGGAATACATCACTAGACAATTGAATTGGACCAGGAAAATGTAAAATTACAGGAAACCTTGCTGACAGATCGCAGAATAAGAAAGGTTTTTTTTTTTCAGGGAGCATAATGATCATAAAACTAACTTTGCTGTGAGACAGAGGAAAGAATCAATTAGAGAAGCCACTGCTAAATGGATTTGCATCTAAAAAGGTACCTTTTAGTATGCCTTTTTGCACGTACATCTAATTAAAGCAAAAGAAAAAGTCAAGAGAAAGCAGCAGTGGTGATTTCCAGGCTACTCTGCCTCTGGCAGCCTGTCAGCATTTCCATGGCATTGTACAGCTAAAGGCCAAGAAGGCAGGGAATTGCTGACAGTTTAGTAAGGCCAACAAATAAGAGTTAAATGATGATAAGACAGGTGCAGTGTAAACGGCAAGTCCCCAAGTGGCCCTTATTTCACCATACAAAGGGCTTTCCCCATCACTCATATTTACTACTTCCTCCACGGCGCACACCCTATACTCTGTCTCACACACACATGCTCACTTTCCTCCATTCATTCCTTCTCTTGCTTTTTTGTGGCTGTAATGAGCTCTTCATCTGTGCCCAGGAGACTGTGACAGAGGTCTTCATCAAAAAGCAGCCATTTGGAAGGTGGCAAGGACAGGTAAGAGTCATTCCTCCGCACCTCTGCTATGGAGCAGATTGAGGGAATACAGGGGAACATCTTACACAGCCTCACACA